GGCTGAGGTATTAATATCTGAGGATCTACTTGTGCTATTGAAATAAATTTTGATGTGTTTGTAACCAGATGGAAAATACACCAATATTTGAATGTTTGAAATGTGAAAAGAATTCATACAACCACAACACACTGAAAAAATAACCTGTGAGATTAACTTGAAAAAAATCCTCATAACAATTTGCACTAACGTTTGTTAAGTAAATTTAAATGCTACAAACTCATATAATATTTACTCATCATTATCTAGTAAAAGTTATTAAGAATATAGTTAAAGATTTGTGAATAAATCAGGTAAATTTTACTTAATTTGATCAAGTATGTATTACAAGATTTAATTGAGCACATTAAGTAAAATTTACCTGATTTATTCACAAATCTTTAACTATATTCTTGATAACTTTTACTAGATAATGATGAGTAAATATTACATGAATTTGTAGCATTTAAATTTACTTAAACAGTGCAAATTGTTACGAGGATTTTTTTCAAGTACATTTTACAAGTTATTTTTTCAGTGTAAGGAGTAGACGTAGATGTAGGCTGAAAAATAATTACTCAAGTAAAGTACAGATACCCAAAAATTCTACTTAAGTACAGTAAAGAAGTACTTGTACTTAGTTACTTTATAACTCTGAAAAGACTGATTGATACGAGCTCGTTGCGGTGAGGTTGTGTGTCGATTGTGTGACAGGGACAAAACTTCTGCTCTCACAGACAACATATCATCTCCAGAGGATGAATCAAACGTCAGCTTCCCATGGCTGGCAGGAGGAGACGGAGGGCAGCGTGGCAGCAGGAGAGACTTAKCGCTCTGCAGGAGAAAACAGCAGCGAGGAGGACGCAGGAGAAGCTGGTGAGACGGGAGCAGAAACAGATGGATCCGGGCCGAGCTGGAGAGGGGGGGTTCATCATCGGGAACAATTCGTGTCGGAGTCTGCCGAGCATCTGGTAGCTCACGTGACGACGAGCAAAAGGTCACGTTTCTGCACAGAAAACAACAACAACCTCGGCCGGGCCCACGCTCACCGTGTCACCACCGATGAAYGTAAACACAACCTGAGGAAAAGCTGACGTCTGACTCAAGAACTGTAAACACTATGAGGATCAGCTGGCTTCCATGGCAACCTCATCCTCCAACATCCCTGTTAAGACTCCTTCAGATGCCTTCCTGATGTTCACCCAGGCTGTGCCAAGAATAAAAAAAAACACCACTTATCTCTGACACCGGAGAGAAACTCGACTTCCTACACATCAGAACCACAAGKAGGAAGCATCTGAGTACAAATACTTTGTTACTGTACTTAAGTAGAAATTTTGGTTATCTGTGCTTTACTTGAGTAATTATTTTTCAGCGTACTTTTTACTTTTACTCATTACRTTTKTACACAATTATCTGTACTTTCTACTCACTACATTTTTTAAAAATGTAAGAAGTAGACAGTCGTTTCTCCTATTTTATTCCAAGTTGTTATTACTTAAAAAATACTATCCTGATAAATTGTGTCTCCTGGATAGAGTGAATTTAATTGTCGTTGGATGAGAAGTATAAATATATACCATTCTGACACACTATTAGCTTGTACACAACCCATCACAGCTGCACGCTGTTAAAAATATATATTTTTTGCAGAAGTCACCTCCCAATAAATGTCATTTTGAAAAATCTAAATGCTCACTTTTACTCAGTACTTTTACTTTTAATACTAAAGTAGAATTTGTGTCAGAAATTTACTTTTGATACTTAAGTACAAAAATATCAGATACTTTAAGGCTTTTACTCAAGTAATATTTTTAGAGAAGACTTTAACTTTTACCAAAGTATTTTTATGATGAGATACTTGTACTTTTACTCAAGTATCACTTTGTGGTACTTTATACAACACTGCACCTGAGCTGCTAAACAACAAAAGGATTATTCCTTCCTTTGTTTTAAAACTACTTAAAGAATAAAAGATGTGTTCTGCAGAAAAAGCACAGATTTATTTATGAAGGCCGCCTTCTGCTTCTGAACAGAACCAGCTCCACAGCAGCAGAAACACTCAGCTTCTCCTTCACTGACAGGTCCAAACCCTCCTGATCCAAAACAAACTGAATAACAGAACTCATTTCAAAATAACATTTTACACTGATTATTGTCTGTGAGGAAATCAAGTCCTGCTTCTTATACATGTTTTGTGTTTTTATGTTTCTGTGAGGCTCAGAGACGGTCGGATCGAGGCTCCTGCACAGAACCGGAACCAGCCGGAGGATTAGCGAGTCATGCTGAAGTCGGGCCTTCCTTGCATCGTAAGCAGCGGCCCACGTTCTGAGGAACAAAACGCTGTGATTCAGAACCACTGAGCATGAAACGCCGCAGCGGCCATGTTGATCAGCAGAAYGTCAGGAAAGTTTTCAGCTGCTCTGCTGGGCGTGTGTATGTGTGCCAGTGTGTGTCAGTGTGTGTGTGTTCTGTCTCTGTAATGTGGATTACTTTTCAAAGCATTAATTTTTCTCTCCTGTAACTGATTTCCTCTTTATTGTTTCCTTTACATCAGGGCTGTTCAACTAAACTGCTCCGGGGGCCACAGTTACTGCAGGCCAACAGCTGAGGGGCCGAACATCCAGCAATTAAAGTCATTATGTAAATAAACTGAGTATTACAAAGATCTGTTATCTTAGAAATAGTCTATTTTGCTGCATTTAATCATGAATACAACATACCTTATACCCTGTAAAAGTAGTGATAATTAAACAACAAAACAAAAATTAATTAATTAAAGTAGAAAACCACTTAAGAGATGAATGAACCAGTTGGTGGGCCGAACGTTGGTCACTCTGCCAGTTGAATAGCCCTGCTTTACATATTCTTTTCAATATTCATTTTTTCCCCATCTC